AACAAAACATTTGTGAGATTTAATCTAAATAAATCATAAATAATAAATCATTTTTAATTATAAAATCATTCTAGTTAATTTATAAATTTTAGAATTAATCCGTCAATCAAATCACAGTTCTTACATTAATAATCCTACAAATCTTGTTAATTGTTTAGACCAGTTTGAGTCAGGAGAAACGGCATTGATGTTAGCATTACGCAAAGCATTAAGATGTCAATACTCAATTGCAGCAGTTATTAATGACATATTCACAAAAGAGGATAACGATACGTAATGAGGCATTACCAGCTGAACGTATCAAAGTCATCGAAACGGGTGGATGTCCACATGCTGTGATATTTCAGCTAATTTGAATGCATCATTGGAACAATTACATGTTAAATTCAACACTCGATTATTGTTGATTGAAAATGAAGGTGATAATTTAGCTGGTAATAATATTTAATATATACATGTGGGGGGATGTTTGGGTGGAGCATGTATATATTCTCTGATGTGATTGATTGATTTAAATTTCTTTATAGCAAATTATTCGCGTGAATTGGCAGATTATATTATTTATGGTAAGAAAAAAAAATTTTTATAGTTTATTTTATTTAAATATATTGAAACGAATGATAATGAATAAACAACTAAATTACATATGTATAAACATTCTAGCTAATAAAAAAATTAAATATAAAATAGTTATTGATGTAGCAGGCGGTGATAAGATACCGCGTAAAGGAGGACCAGATATTACTCAATCAGATTTATTGATTATTAATAAAACTGACTTAGCAGAGATAGTTGGTGCTGACCTGTCAGTAATGAAGAGAGACGCACGTAAAAAGAGGTAAATCGATGATAATGTTAATGTTTGATTTGATTTTTTGTCAAAATTGTTAGAAGTTAATGATTATAAAATATATTTATAGGGAAAGCGGACCAACCGTATTCACCCAAGTTAAAAATGGTGTTGGTATACTTGAAGTTGTTGAGTTAACTCTTGGTGCTTGGAAATCATCTGGCAGGGCCGATGATTAGTTAATTTTATTAACTGAACAAAGTTTTCTTGGATTTGATAACCTAAAAAAACAAACAAACAAACAATCAATCAATCAATCTATTATTTATAATTAATAAATAAATTTTGTTAATAAATAAATAATACCTGAAATATTTCATAGTCGTCAACATAGAATGAAGGAATTTGTGTAGTGTCATTATGTGAGTAATAAGATTTTGGTTCGTAATTTGATCTGGAATTTTCATTGCACCGATCACTAACACTTAAATCTGGATATCCAAATGTTGGACCTCTGGATGGATCATGATAGATTGCAAAATTGGAGTTTTTCACTCTATTCAATTTACAACATTTATTGAAATTATTGTTCTCGTCAAAATTCATTGAAAATATAAAACTGTCTTCTGTTGCATGGTATCCACATCTTGATGTGTACCACCCAACTGGATTATATCCACCAATTATTTGAGCATGACCTCTGATTTTTATCAATACAACGCTACTTCCTTTGTTATCACATTTCGAATGAAAATCATCCGATGTAAATCCATCTCTTGATGCTCTAAACAATAAATTCCAATCATAATTTAGACGTTTTGAATGTGTACCATAATTAGTAATTGGATTGATTGGATTACTGTTATTAACAATATTGATAGCGGTGGTACCAGTAGTAATATTACTATTAATAAGATTTTGCATCCAAAATTCAATCATTGAAGCGTGTTTATTTGTTACTATGGTAGAGTCAATCGGTGAAATTCTTGGTGGTAGAATTATTGACTTTGGTTGATAATTTTCTGACAAAAAGTAGCCATAAATGTCTTTTTTCAATGATTTTGGCAGGATACGTTTAAATGGAAAAACCTTTTTGAAATAGTCATCTCCTGAAATATGAAAATATCTTATTAGGGTAATACATTTACTCAATATTTTTTCTAACTCGATAAAATTGTTCCTTTCCCAATTTTCAACAATTAGTTCATAATTATTATTATTATTACTAATAATACTATTACTATGACTATTATTGTTAATGCCGAATTGAGCTACACCCCATTTAATCATATAATCCCAAATTTCAATTTCCTCCATTTCCAAATCATCTCTTTCCAACAAAGCTACCAAAATATTTGATTCTAGTTTTAGATAATCTTCAGATTCAAACAAAAATTTCGGATCATTGGAAATTATTTCAAGACAATAATCTTGCAACTTTTTACAAGTTTGATGTTGAAATATTGTATGTAAAACTCTTACTATATTTTTTTGTAACCAATTGGCTTGATTTTGGATCAAATAATCTTGTACATGTTCAATTAACTCATCCAATATCAATTCATCTGCTGCAACCAGTAAATCCAAAATATCAATTATCTCTTGGCCATTAAAATCAAGTATTCCTGTATAAATGTACCTATAAAATAAATTATTAAGTTGTGAGAAAATAAATTGAGAATTGGAAATTAATTTAAGAATTGAAAAAAACAAAAATTAAAATAAAAAAATTTTTTTTTCGCAAAAGAAATATTAATTACTTTAAAACTAGTTTAAAGACTCTTGGAGATATATTTGGTTTATTTAATACAATTAGATTGTTCCTTTCACCATCTAATTTTTGCCAATCTTTTGACAAAGCTGCACGAAAATAAGGAGATCTAGCAGACAATAATAATGAGTGTACCATGAACTCTTCCTCTAATAAATCATTGCCATCGTTTCCATTGGAATTTTCAGTGCAAAGATTGCCACCACCGCCTACTTTCATTAGAACATCACAATTTTGTGTTGATTCAAGAACTTGTAATAAATCAGATGATAGTCTATCGAATAATCTTTTTGGAGTTTTCATTATTTTATTATTATTAACATTTGTTATTGTTAATTGAATGAATAAATAACGGAAAGGAATAATTAAAAGAGTGTAGAAAGAAAAGAAATTAATATTTTATTAACGTGATATGCATCAATCATATGATTAACCATTTTAAAAAAGTAATTTTGTATCGCGATTTTCATTATTTTCATTACACAAATTAAACTTTAAATTAAACAAACATTAACCTACTAGATAAACAGCTTGTGTTTCCTTCTATAACATATTACGGGCTCCGTTTACTTTTTGAGGGGCCCAGATTTTGTTTGATGATGATTCCACACGTATCTCCTCCTCCTCCACGCATACTTGTGGAATTTACGGAAAAAATATTGGCGAAAATGGAAATGTGGTTAGTATTAGTTATATTGGATTTTTCTAAAATTATCGTTTTTGAGGAGTAAAAACAACATGCAAAATTTTCGAAGAATGCTTGAATCTTTTACGCTTATTTGTTTTATAATGAAAACATAAACAACAATACAATCTAATTATTCCCCGTTTCCCGTTCTATATATAACTTTGCCGCTAATGCTACTGCCACTTCTATTGCTGCTTTTAATTGTCACTGCTTTTAATGTGCCACTTCCATTTGTTTAACAGTTAAACCAATTTCATAAACGTTTTATAGGAAATAATATAATAGTAATACAATATATACAATATGTATGTATCTCTATCCTATCCTATATTATATTATATAAATAAATAAACCATTGTACTGGAATAATTGATTATTATTATATACATATCTATTAAATGAAGTATTGTAAATATTTGAAATGAAGGTGTCAATTAGAAAATTGATAAAAATAAATGTTTCTTTTACAATTTCTTATAAAGTTGTAATATTAAAAAAAATATATCTCTTTGTTAGTAATAAATTGCTACATCAAATATTTGCCTATAATAAAATTTTATTGGTGACTGCTGGATGATAGAAGTTTAAACAATAATCTATACTTGGTTTTACATCTAAAATTTATTTGGTAATTTTGGAAAAAATGCCACTATTTAATTTGTCTCCCTGGATGGCAAAAGTCAACTTTGAACTCTAATAACTTTTTTTAAAAATTATGTTAATACAGAAAGTGAACCGATAAAATAAAAGAACATTTCTCATTCTTTCAATTTATCGGTTTACTTTTTGGCTGTAACACAAATCAAAGGACTAGATGCAGTTAAAGTGCGATTACATTCTAGGATTATTGAATTTGTATTATTGTTATTATAAATAAATTACTGAAATCTTCATGAGATCTGGACACGATCTCACAATACACATGATATTTGATGTGTTTAGAGTAACTGTTATAATATATGATAATAACATATGGCGTCTTTTGGTAGTGACAGTGTTAATTTTCCTTCCATCCTTGTCTTTTTTTTACAGGTGGTGTTCTTCCTACTATGTGTCCAGTTTCTTCCACTTTAAAATCGTATGTTTATTAACTCTAGCTCTCCCAGCCGAAATACTTAATTCCAATAATATATAGGTTCATGACTATAATCTCTTTAGCGAGGGATGTGTCGATAAGTTTGCAAATTATAGTTCTGTCGTCGTTACCAAAATGTGAGTGTGCGATCCGAGTTTCTTAATTAATTGCCTTTTTCCGGCTATTATAGCTATCAGCCACTAATGCTGCCCGGTCAAAGACTAATTTTTATGTAAAAGTGTTATTATTATTATCAAAATGTTAGAATATTATATTATTACAAGATCAATTATTGGTTAACTATTCATTAATTCCCTTTTCACTGAAGAAAATTTCAAGCATATCTATACTTATTGAAGTATTAAAGATAGCATGACTTTTTGTTAAAATAAAATAGAATAAAATAGAATGAATAGAATGAATATTTTGGGAATGATTATTAATGCTAAATGCCCTATATATAAAAAAAAACCCCCCATGTAGAAAAGGCACTGAATACATGCGTTATAAACAGTACGAAAATATGGAATTCCAAATAATATCCATACTAATACGTATAAATTGGCACGGTTTTGGACACATTTCCATATTAGTATATATCTTAAAGTACTGAAACGGTACGGAATCTACGTTTTTTCCATATTTCAAAGTACTGAATTCATACTAATACGGCAATGAAAATTATTAATTATAATGGTAAAACATGTTTTAGTTACTATCGCTGAATCCATACTAATACCAAAAATCATTAATTGCTTAAAAATAAAAATTTTATTAACAAGAATTCTATAAAAATACAAGTAGTATGAACTTGTGAAGCAATTAACAATCAAATATGAGATTGTAGTCTTCGCCTCATATTTATCTGCCAACCCTTTAATTGAAGCTTGATGTATTGGATCATCTAAGGGTATAACGGGATAGTATGTAATAAAAAACAACGTTATGTAAAAATGTTTTAATAAATATTAAATATAAGATATAAAATTCTAAGAATCCAGAATACAGCAAATAATGATATCGTGTAAAAATTATTTAATAATAATATATGTTTTATGATAATAATGAATAAAATAAATGTATTCTTTATATGTCATCTTTCAGTATTAGTATGTTACAAGTTCCGCCGTACCTTATTATTATATACTAATACGAAATCAAAAACAGTTACAAATTCCGTACCTTATATGCGGAATCGAACAAATCCCATAACCTATTCCGTACTTTATACGCGGAATTAAAACGTACCTTTTCAGTATGTTACAAATTCTGTATGGTGCGCCGCATCTAAAGACATAAAAAAAAATTGCAAATATTTAAACCCTGATAACTTTGTAAATATTTGTTGGTCCATAAAAATATCTCTATTTTTGTAATCGTTGAAACATAAGCAACAATGTAATAGAGAGAATTTTTAAAGTTAATTAGTAAAATAAAAAGTTATGGGGGTTTAAAATTAAGTAATTTTATTACTAATTAAAAAAATTCGACACGCCTATCAAACTAATTTGACCAATCAGAAAACTAATATAGATCAACTTTTATCACGTGATTCATATAACAATCATTCAACATTCAACGATAATATATCTGCATCCATTAACATAAATTCTGGCAATTTTCTATGAGTTTTTTGCTGCAAATATTAAAGCTTTTCGTGAAAGTCCTAATCTATAAGCATTCATAAATCTATAACACCTTCTAGCAAACTTTCCAATTTTACCGGGTTCAATGCCAGAGGAACAGTTCTCTCTAATTCTTTAAATAAATAATTACAATTTTTTCTAGTGTATTCTTTAGTTACTTCCCAAAAACTTTCTGTATAATTTAATTCACAATGATTTCTTGATCAGCATTAAAAATTTTCGGCAATAAGCGCAGCACCATATCTGAACGATTTCTTGATCAGAAAAGATCACCATTAAAATTTTCGGCAAATGGCGCAGCATTTGATGTCTTTATATGCGGCACACCATAACTGATTCCGTACTAATATCCGTACTTCACATTAAATTTGATATTTGAAAAGGGGCAATTTTTCAAAACCGTATAATAAATACGTTAATCCCGTATATATATTTTTAAGATCGTATTTAATATTAATATTAATATCAATATTAACACACTAACATGTTAATTCCGTATTTTATTTTTCATGGGGCTACCTATAACATTTCATGAGAAGGTGAATTATAACCAGGGTTTAATGCTTTTAATAAGTTAACAAAAAAAGGATTTTCTATCACAACAAATAAATGTAATAGTCAAAGCTACATCAATTTGTTGGTTCAATTGATGTGAAACCGTAGTAGAAATTAATCACTACTAATTTTTCTATTATTTGACGTGGACTTCACCAACCATTGAGGATTTCATATGAATCACCAGAAGAGTTGTCATGCATATTATTCACAATGATCCAATTATAATATCATTTAATATCCTCTCCGTATTTATTGCACTCATTTGCTAAATGGAATGTAAGATTCCAAATTTTGCGAATGACAATTTTTCATGAAAATGTATACATTTACCTTCATATATAGTCATGCTCCTTTTCTTCACCTTGAATAAATTGTCTCCATACACTTGTAAATTATCTGCTACGGTTAGAAGGATTATTGGTTTCTGGAATCGCTTCTCGATCTTTTTTTTCATTATATATTCCAAAAATTTAAGCCACGTATAATTTTGTTTATAGTATTTTCAGTCATTTACAGAATTAAAGTTACATTTACACACATTACAAGAATCACAGATTTTGATGCTTGGTTGCAAATAGTATGATAACTCTGTTGCTAGATACAACTTCTGTAAATCTGATTTACAGACAGTATCATTAACTCATACCGCCATCACTGCCATCATCATAATCATCATCAAATAAAATACTCATACCGTCATCACTGTCATCATAATCATCATCAAATAATCATCATCATCACTGTCATCATAATCATCATCAAATAATAATCATCATCATCACTGTCATCATAATCATCATCAAATAAAACGTAGCGTTTTTCGTCATCATCATTACCATCATCATTATTTGTAATCATTATCAACATCAGTATTTAATTCTGGTAACATTGATCAATGTGTAATGAACCAATGGTTGGAGGTGCAAGCTGAAGTAAACTCGACACAGCGGTTGTGGTGTTCCCTACGAAGCCGCTTATAACTACTTGGAGGTGTTTCTATATGAGACATTTACCTAGTCAAAATTCTAGATTTTAAGATGTTCTTGAGTAAAATTATTTTTACCCTTATGTTGTAGATTAATTTCAAACAACCATTTTTAAACCTGAAAATTAGAATTTTTGTTAATGTTATCTTCTAGAAATTTTGAAATCAATAAAGCCTTTGTATTTTTATGATTAATAAATTTCAAAAAGATTTTGAAAACATTAATAGGATTGATATTGTTCAATAGAGTCAATGATGCATACGCTTATAATATTATTGAAAATAAATACCATGTTTTCCATTGAAATTTATGAACAATTATTGTCTTTTTGAGCTCTGTAATAATTCCATTAAATCCTTTCTCTATATATATATATATATATATTACATCAACGTTATCGCCAACACATATCATCAACACGTTATCATCAACGTTATCATCAACTTGTATCATCTACACATTAACATCAACGTTATTGTCAACGTGTATCATCAACACGTTATCATCAACACGTTATCATAAACATTATCATCAACGTTATCTTCAATACGTTATCATCAACGTTATCATTGTGCACTCTCATACAATATTGTAGAGAAATCATATAATAGTTCATTATTTCAATGTATAGTGAGATTCTAATTTCATATCTATTTTTCATAACTGAAATTCTTTTTATTTTATTTTTAATATATTTTTATTTTAATATATATTTTATTTTTAATGTATATATTATTTATTTTTAATGAATATTTTGTTTTTTGGTATTTTTTGAAAAAAAATTTTCCCACAGCTAATTTTATTAATTTTATTAAAAATAATAAAAGTTTTAACGTTACCACGCAACGGCTCCTCTGATCAGATATCCTACCGATAAGAATACCCTCTCAACATGGAAATCTGTTACGCAGCCGACCTCGCAAACCGTGAGGAATGGTCAGTCAGAAGCCTACCATGTCTTTACTTATACCTTCAGTCTGCAAGGCGAATAACTGGATCTTACAGCTCCAACGTCAACCCCAAGATCCCCCATACATAGTCTAGCGCCTGAATCCTGATCAGGGAGGCTAATGCTAAACCATATATGAGAAACCCTGTAACTGAAGATTGATACTAGTGATCAACTAATATCGAATAATCAGCTGCCTATCAATAATGCGAAAATTTGAATTATATATTTGCTGAAAAATTTTTTTTTTATAATTATGGGACACTAACACACTCATTTAACAATATTTCATTGGATAAATTCTATTTATTAAAATAATTTTTTTTTATTTTCTTTATTATCATACAAACTAATGTCGTTTTCCAAAATATAGAGTTTTGCAACTATGCGAAAGTCAAAAAAGGTTTGGCCATAAGTCGAAACTAGTTTTTTCTTTTTGACTTTTGACTTTTGATTTAGTTTTGACACGTAACCTTTTGACTTTGCCTCTTCAAAATAGCTTTCGCGACCAACACTAATAATACAAACATAAAACAAATTTCAAAACCATACTTGATGAATGTTTTAACAATTATTCGAATTATTTGATAGAAAAAAGTAGAGTTATATGATAGGCAGATTTGCGTTGAAGTGATTGTTAAAAAACAAGATGCACGATCTATGAAGCTTCCAGGTTTTGTGAATATATCAATTTTCTTTTTTTATTTACGATCAACATCCTGCGATCATACACACGAATCTATAACGCACATAATGATATTGTATTCTCCTGCTATCATTAATATAGTAGTAATAAGAATCTCATTTGAAAAAAAAACCAATAATATAATAATATTTATAAGTAAAGGAAAATAAAGAAGATACTTGTCAAGTATGACGAATTAATAAATCAAGAAAATGGAGAAGCATTTAAAAAATATAATATTAAAAGTTGGCAATAATAAGTTTTTTATTCTTTATCATCAAAACTTTCATCCGATATAAATAATTCACTATCTAAAAATTTTACTATATACTACTCTCACCACCACCATCACTACTTATACTACTACTATTCCTTTCTCTTCTTCTATTTTTATTACCGATCAAAATCAATTAATGATAGTTAATAATTTAATTCAAATTCTCAAAGATATAAAGGTTAGGAAACAAGTGCATCATAATAATGTTGAACTTTAATCATAATTACTACTAACAACATTAATTTTTAAAAAACGGGATGCAGTTTATGTTGTCTATGATGAAACAATTATTTAACAAATATATATAGAGCATTGTTATAAAATAGAAGCACGATTATAAAACTTTTTATTAATGATACAAAACTAATGTGTATGCTGTATGATGGAGATTAAATTAGGTGACGATGGATTGGTTGAAAAAAAAACAAAATCAAGTGATTCTGACTTTTGTTATCGGATGAAACCTAATTATCAACATAGGTAAAAAATTTTTTTTAATTGGAAGAATTAAATCAAACGAATACATTGATCCTTCATTCGAATGTTATTTTTTATTTGTTGAAATTTTTGCAATTGTTTCAAATTTCATTATAATCTATATCCTAACTTATTTGTTTTAATCGTTATCCAAAAAATAGTGGGTCAACTTATTCGGTAGAGGGAGAAAAATGTATAAATGTCACATTTTGCATTATTATTACGCAGCTTTGACATGTATCAAACAAAATAAATTATATAGTTGTTTTTTCTGTGGGCTTTTAAAATCACATATCTGATCAACAGGCACATCGTCCAATTTGTCCAAGTAATGATAGTATACCAAGATCATGCAGAAATGAAATTTAAGGAACCAATTTTGAAAAAAAGCCACATTTAGGTGAGAAAATTTGGCAGAGTTGGAAAATAGACCTTTGATTATTTTAATCCGAGCTTCTTTTCCATGTAGGATAATGGATCCATTCAAAAGTGTTGTGGAGAATTTTAGTAGTCGAGCCTCTAATTTGGTTCCTTTTATAGAAGTTTGCCTAAACTAAATTGTGATGATGCCGAAACTCAGGAAAAAACAGGTTATAGAAACTAATAGTTCGAAACTCGGTTACTTTGCCGAAACTTAATCACTGTGCCGAAACTTCAATTTTTGTTAAAACTATTTTATAATGATTAGACATTTCCTTTTGAAACAAATTAATTATTGTTGAAATACAAGAAATTTTATTATTATTGCAAAACATTATTATGTAGAAGGTGTTATAATTCTTTGGTTACATTAGTATCAACAAAGGGTAAGTTTGGTGAGGTGTTTGCTTTGGTAGATTTTGGTGTCGTTGAAAAATGCACTAGTTGAATACCATATTCTGGATCATCGTTATCTTCTTAGTCTAAGTCTATGATTTCCAAATCTGAAAGAATGCATCTGCTTAGCTTTATTGATAATATATTTAGGAAGATACTTCTCACGCCTTCATTTTCAATTTTGTGATTCTCTCCAAAAAATTTTTATAACATCAAAAATGATTTCTTTTCAGCAATCTTGATTGGTTTAAGGACAGGATAATATCTTTATCTTTAAATAAAGAAAGGAAAATGATTTTTATTATTATTTTTATTATTTGAATGTCGCATTTATAAATTTATGTGCAACAAGAAAATTTTCCCGTGATAAAATCTCTATAATCGATGAAATTATTACCAATTATGCTATGCTATATAGATTTAGTAATTAGGCAAACTTCTATATAATAGACGGGTTTAATTATTATTTTGATCATTATTATTAAATTGTTAATGTTAATATACAACCAATAATTAATGCCAATACTGACATTAATTATTGGTAAAGTAATATTATCATTATATGCTTTATGAATCATTAGTTACACAAAAAGCATACACATTTTATAGTTTCGGCAAAAATAATTATGCCTAAAATTTCGGCATTTTGCTTGCTTGAAAATCGAAACTAAATTTTTTAATTTGCCGAAACTATTGCCGAAATTTAGTGGTTTAGGCAAACTTCTATAGTTCCCTGCATTTTGTATATTGTGTGCATCTGTGTATTCATGCATGCATACAATTACAAGTCATAGTCCCTTAAAAATCATTTCCAAAAAAAAATTAAAATGAATGGATCTGATGTTGATTATATGCAGGGTTGCCATGGACAACATCCTGGGCACTATCCAATATGTTCAAGGTGTACCTGGTTGATTATTATTTTGAGTTGGTGATTGAGATGATGGAGTTGGTCGTTTGTTATGTTGCGTTGTTGATCATACACAAAGTACATGAGGTGGATTTGGACCTACAGGCACAGGATAATATTTGTGTCCGACGCCGATCTTCCCTATAAAAAAAACCACATAGAAAAAAGGTACTGAATAATACGTTATAAACAGTACGAATTCCAAATAATAAAAGGTACAGAGTTGGACACTTTCCTGTATCTCATCCGGAATCAACACTTTTTCCATATTTCAAAGTACTGAATCCATACATGTTTTAGTTACTATTGCTGAATCCATACCAATACCAAAAATCACTAATAAATTTAAAAATAAACAGTTTTTTTTTTTGAAAAAAATACCAAAAAACAATACGAAGTTCAACCCGAGGTCAAAAGCCGAATTAAAAGTTGAATTGGTCGAAATTACATCATACAACAGGCCGAACATATAGAAAAATCAATCAAAAACTTTAAATTACCATAACTCGGTCAATATTTGGCTTTTTTGGGTAAAATAACTACCATTCGAATTCTCTCAATGAGGTGAGGTCTGACGAAATGTAATTCAAATCATTAATTATTGAGATATTTTATTTACTGTATATCTTACATTTATCGATGCTATGAACATTAAAACACTATTATTCGAATCGCTGAGCCGTGTTTCATTAAAGTTGGATCACGGTTCTCGTGTGATATGACACAATTTCCCCCGAAATTAAATCATTTAGACTTTACGTTAATAATCAAATATATGATTATAGTCTTCACTTCGTATTTCCGTACTCCACACTAAATTTGAAAAGGGGCAATTTTTCCAAACCGTAAAAGAAATACGTTAATTTCGTATATATATTCTTTAAGAACGTATTTAGCACACGTTAATTCCGTATTTTAATTTTCATAGGGATTGTATGATAAAGGAAGTTAACAATTTAACAATTATTTATTATTATTATTAACAATCATGTGATGATAACTTTTTCATCAATCATTACGAAGATTACATTTACAATTGCAATATTATATTGGTTGTGGCATCAAACATATTTCCTGAAAAAAAAAAAGTAGATTCTTTGAAATCAATATTGTCAATTACACAAACATTCCATATTATAGGTCCATAACTAAATTTTTCTTCGGATTCGCAGCTGTCATCAATTCATCTTCACAGCGATGTTCGTGTCTTAATGTGTGAGGAAGTACATCATTAGCTAAAAGCACATTATCAATTCTACCCAGTTTAACAAAATGAGACCAAGTTTTGATTTTGTCATTCCTTAAAAATACTATCAATTAATATAATCAATAAAAATTAAAAATTCACATTTTTTTTTTTTTTTGGATATAATTATGTATATTATGTATGGGACATTAGATGATTTGAAAAAAAATAATGCGTATGTCAAATAGTTATCCAACTTGACTTGCAAAAATCTTTGAATGATATCATGAAATGGTCATTAATGTGGTCAAGAATACTTGATAATTTGGACCTTCTGAATTTATTGGAGAATGGAATGATAAAAAAAATTGTATTTTTTCTGAATTATCAAAAATACATGGAGAAATTTGGATGTATACATCATATTCTTTAGAAAACTCTGCAATTGTCGAGACTACACCTAATGTTGTAATGTTTAAAGCAAGCCCTCCAGCTAATTGTGATAGAAATGTTTTTGCTACATGCAAACTGTTTAAAGAGGATATTCTTTCCGGATACAATAAACGTCTCGACTTAGTTGCTGATGATATTACACATTCAATGAAGCAATGGGAATACATGGAATAAAATGCACAAGTAAAATATTAGTCATAATCATACTTCCATATGAAGAAATCAAGTCAATGCAATCAAGAAGAGAAGACTTGATATGTTTCTATCAGAATTTTTGGATGGTGGTGTTAAAAACAGAAATGAAAAGGCCATTCATAGTCGTAAAGAAGTCTCTGGCAAGTTATAGATGAGCTCTGCAATATATTCAATGGCACAACTCCACCGGATCGTTCTTTGTTAAAGAATTACATGATGAAGGATTAAATAATACATTTATCTGTCACAATTAAATGTAAAAGTACAAAAACCTAAAAAGGATATTGTTCCACACAAATGGTATGTGATATTAAGAAAATCAAGAAAAATCTAATGTAAATGAACAACCAAAAAATATGATAATTGATGATGACAAAATACATCCTCTTCCATTTCCAATGCACTCCCCTCACAGATCCATTATAAGCAAAAAAACTAAAACGGAAATTCTTGGATGCTTTGTCTCTTTCCAAAAAACTCTTCCAAAAGATGTGATTGGTCCTGTTGCTGAAATCATTATTTCAACTTGACCCAAATTATTGGGATAAAAAAAAGGTGAAAGATTATTGGCGATTTAACCTTGAGCCTAATAGAAGGAAAAAATATATGAAACTATAATAAAAAATTTTTATTGCATATAATGTTATTTTTTCATATTCATACATAAAATATATGGGTAATCATTTAACAAACAAATTATAAATAAAACTATTAGATTTATTTAAATGGTAATAGACTATTTAACTTTTAATCATTTCTATTTTAATGTTGCTATGATGGTTTCATTTCATCAATTAATATTATGTGTAATTTGGTTAAAATTTTAAATAAATTAATAGTAGCCTTATAAATAAATAACTATAAACCAGTCCCTTATAATTAGAAACAAAATTTTTCTAACACAACCTTCCAAGTAGTTATAAGCGACTTTATAGGGAATACTTTGACATAACTGTTGCTGCTGAATTTATTTTAGTCTGCATACTAGTTGGGCGATAATCTTAAAATAGGCTTAAAGAAAAACTTTTGATCTGTCGTAGAATAACCAATATTTAAGCCTTTTTCTTTTAATGGCTAAAAAAGTCCTGGTCTATCTCTAATTATTATGGTTGAAAATCTATATGAAAAAACGGGGGGTTTTTTTTTGATAAATTTATTCGTGTAACATTTAGATTGAATCACGAGCAAGATAAAGTTTATAATAAATTTCCTTGTAATAACTTAATTGGATTGATCGATCCAAAGTTTCAACTCGAAGATCATTTATCTGTAATAACACAATATTTATTATGTAACAATTGTAACAAAAAAGAAAAGTCATCAAGGAAATTAATGCAGGCGAATTATTATCAATTTTGGAAAAAAATTTATGCAATGGAATTCTAGAATTTTGGATTCGGCTATAAAACGTTAAAATTTTTTGTTTCAAAAATATCGACTTTGTTTTTTATTCCTATTTAAATAATCTTTCTCTCCCTTCACCTTCAATTCCAACACTATTTCTTCTTTTCCCTTTTTTTTTATATTTATTAATTTCCTAACTTTTCAATAATATTCGAGCAATTATAGACTGGTTTCTATATTTGCAATATACATAATATACATAATATACATAATATACATAGATTCATCAACCTTCAACATATTAATAAAAAACAACACCGATATCAATTAATCTATTTTTTTTAAAAATGAAGCCAACCAATTTCCTTTCTTTAACTTTAATCTTCATTTTTTTCATTCTTTTCAACAACAATTCTATTGTTTCTGCTGAGAAGGAGAAGGCTATCGAGTTTGGGTACACGGGGGACAAGGGGCCGTTATTTTGGGACTTATTATCTGAAGATTCAAAAATTTGTAAAACTGGTAAAAATCAATCACCAATTGATATCACAACAAAACTATTATCAGCAAAGAAAAAAAAGGGGCCAAAACCAGACTTTCAAGATGCTTTAAATGTCGAAATATTTAATAACGGGAACACATTAGAAGTAAGCTCGGGCGAAAAAAACAAAACCTTACCGGCTACAATCGTCACTAGCGACGATGGTACTTTATATAAATTGAATCAATTTCATTTTCATACACCTTCCGAACATCGTATCAATGGTGTACATTTCGATGTTGAACAACATTTAGTATTCAGTAAAGTTAAGGGCAAAAATCCAAATGAAATTGCAGTCGTTGCTGTTTTCTACAATATCGGTGATGAAGAAAATGTGTTTTTGAAACCAATTGTCGAAAATGTAAGCTTATTTCAAAAGAAAATTCTAATAATACATATATTATATCTGTGCATATATATTTATTTGTTTGTTTTGAAATCACCTAGATTCCAAAGAAAGTCGAAGAAAAGAATAAAATTAAAAAGGTTGAATTAAGTACATTGATAAAAGACATAGATAGCATTAAAAACGTGAGTAATCATTAATATTTATTTATTTAAAGCAAAAACAGTCAAACAAACTACTATGAATTGTAACTTATTTCATTTCATTTCATTTCTTAAATACAAAGGCATTCAATTATGATGGAAGCTTAACAACACCACCATGTACTGAAACCGTTGAATGGTATGTCAACAAGGAGCCATTATCACTTAGCGTACAACAATTTAAAGAGATGCGCGATGTCATTGGTTTCAATTCACGTTTCACACAATTAAGAAGTGATGAGTCTGTTGTTAGAAAAAGGTCACTTCCAAAAATGAGAAGAGTTTTTAGACGATAGAGTAATTTATTCATACATATTAATAAATAATTATTTAATAAATTTCACGTATTACAATCAATAAAATTTAAATAATTTTGAACTTAATTAATTGTGGCCATCGTATTCATGCAAAAATTATTTATTAATAAATGTTTTTTAAAAAAAAATTGATACATACCATCAAATTTCCCATAAATCTCTCTTGTTTCACGAGGGTGACATACATATGTAGGACTAAATGCTAGAGCTTATTATTATGTACGAACTGGTTCGAACCGATTTTTTAAACAAACATGTTGGTTCAGTTAAAAATCAAATAGCTCCTATATATGCTAAATACTAGTACATCTACATTAGGAATCAATACTTTTAGCAAACTTTTTTTAAAAGACGCGTTGTATGCGTTTCAACAAAATTAAATATTTTTGTGTGTAACTTCTTATATTTTTGTGCGACAAACGAATGTCCACCATATATGTACACTTCATTTACTTATATAGTTAGAATACTGCTTCAAAACTTTGAAACTGTAGCACGGAAAATACTGCTTAGAACCTTCAAGCAGCATATATAAACAATATGTACTAAAAATCACAAGAAGGTTCCTAAAAATATATAACAGTTTCGACTGAATCCAATCACAAACAAAAGCCACTCTCCGGCATATTCCCTATTCATTCTGATTTTATATTAAAAATCTATTTCGTTTGCCATAACTATAAACGCTCTCCCAACTCATATAGTTAGTGACAATAGCAAGTGTATTGAATGAACAAGTATCATATTAACGATGTAATATTTTTCATTAGGCAAAAGGATTAATAGTGTATTATAATTAGATGATACATTGAGTAATGACAAGGCACAAAGTTCAATGAAAGCTTTCAACATTCTATAATATCTTTTTCACGAATAAAAATATTCAATTCAAACTTTTTTTCTCAAGTGATATTACTGATATAGAATATACACTGATTTCGCGGGTTTAAGGGTTTAACAAATAAATTTTCCTATTACTATTATTATAATTATTTTATCTTGATTTAACGGGGTTTAACGAATTTATTAATATTAATATTAATATTAAATATACATTTGATTTTATTAAACCATATATGCTATTTATAACGTATGAAGATCTTTGCTATTATAATAAGATAAATTGCACTAATAACTCCCCGATTTATTATTATATATTAAATATGTATGATAATGTATAATTAAATAAATAGTTATGGATGTTCATGGTAATGCTACTGTGATCCTAGTATAATATCATAATTAATTAATTTCTTAATAATGTTTTTTATTAATATTTTTAATGCGGGTTATGTCAAAAGATTAAAAATGAAAATTTTTTATAAAAATTCTCAACAACAAATACAAACAAGAATAGAATATTGTTATAATGACAATGTTAACATTTTAAACGAATGAGTATATTTTTAAATAACTGTGTCTGCATTATTACGTTATATGAATAAAATTTTATTTTTAATGTAACACATCACACGATTTAATTATTGTTAATTTCCTCGTATATATATATACAAACATGTCGTCGATGCTCATTGTGAGTTATATTTGTATTGATTGTTGCATGCGTTTTTTTTTTCAATAAAGTTTGATGTTTTTTACAGCCCATGCGGACAATTTCCGAAAGGTTACACCTTTATCTCTCAGTTCGTAGGGATAGAGCCTCAGCCTGGGAAAATATATAAGAGGGATATCCCCCCTTATCAATCTTATCGATCTTTGGGTATTGGTCTGATAATTCTACAGACCAGGTGATCAGAGATATATCCGTGCATTTATATTTATCCCTCGCCAGGCTAAAGCTGTATCTCTCTGAACACAGGGATAAAGGTCAGACCTACCCGGAAATCGTTCGCATATGGTGGTTTTTTATTAAATATGTAATAGTGATGATTGGTGTAATAATCCAACTTTCATTTTGCGTCAGCCAATCACTATGTGACATGCCACTCTACTGATAAAAAAAAAGGAATTGCAAATATTCCTTGATACCAACAAATATGATCTATAATTCTGCATGTTATTTTAACCATATCTCATCTTTATCACAAAATTAGCAAGTGATTGTGTATTTGTTTATATGCTGCGTTTACCAAAGATTCACTTACACCATCTCTTTCTGCAACAACTCCATTACTCCATTCACAATTACACGCTTTGCATTTGGTTCCAAAATATCCAAGGATAACATTTCAAAATGTTGTCAAACTGCGTTTTTTGGTCGCTTGCCATATTTTTTTTTGAATTCGATGAGTTATTTATATCTACACGAGTATTGTTTGACATTATGATTAAAAAAATTTTATATATATTCTTAAGAAAGATAAAAATTATATTAGAACAAGTAAGGAAATTATTATATTTTTAAAGTGGAAATTTTATATTTATGTTGATTTAGGCTAAACCAATGGTTTAATTAATCAAAATAAAAGGAACTATTGATAAAAACGTTGGTCACTTGAAGAGAAAATAATCATGGTACAAATAACATGTCATATGGTCATAAAATCAGTTTAGGAGTTTCGGGTTAGTTTAGAAAATAGTTTGGGTTTCTAAACTAGTTTAGAAAGGAGGTTAGAGCTCATAAAGGCAACTCTACCATAAACACATAAATTTATACAATTCATTATTTTAACATGTACAACTATTAAGTACGGTTTAATAATTAGCTTTCTGAATATGAACTTTAACATTTGGTTACACTATTACCATAAATCCAGAAATTTTATTAAACAAAAAAAGATTATTTGTGGATCAAAAGTGCCCAAAAGAAGGAGACAAATACTTTAAAATATATTTCATTCCCTTGGAGTGTGTGGTGTGATGAATGTTTCAGGCAAGGTAAACGGAGGAGGTGTGGAGCATCTGTTATCTAGTTCGTCATCATTGTTGTCATCAAACAAATTGTTTAATTTTTATCATTAATCAAATCTAAAGTCTGCTTCAACATCGCTTTTATATGTAAAATTCCTTCACAACAAAGGCAATTGGCCGTGATTTGCTTAACCAACCATTAACTTCATAAACTTTTCCACATTGGATGTGACAAGTGTATCCCCTTGGAATGTGGTTTGTAATCAATTACCTTCATTTAATATACCAAAAACTTGTAATTGTCTGGCAACATCTACTTTGCCACCACTGTAAAGAATTCGTGAGGAATTATTTTAAAAACGAATTAAACACTTTGCTACGAACAAATACTTTAATTGTGGTAAAAATATAAATTATTCTTTTTTATTCTTTTTAAATAATAATCATATTTATAATACAAGAAAATACAGATAATCTCATCTATCTGAATATTACTAATCATAATTAGCAAAAATGCTTATATAAATTGTTACAATCACATTCAGCAATAAGTTGTGTAAACATATCCTTTATCACTTTTCCTAATTTCAAACTATCTTTCAAATCTTTGCTTCCATTTGGTCCTTCCAATTTGCAATCTGTTTCAATGGCCTCGAACTCTATGTGGTCTTTTGTGATTCTAAAAATACCATATTCTTTCCTCTCGATTTTTTTGTGATCAGAGGCTGTCCTACCCTTATTTTCCCTCATACTTTCATCCCATAGTAATGGCTCCACAGATTATGTTGATACCATCCTTCCAGTTTTGATGGATCAGAAGTATAGATGCAACCCAAATTCCAAATTAATTTGTGCATCCCAAATGCACAATCCCAAATATAGATCAGATTCCTGTACTTGCTCTCCTGTCCAATAAGCATCCAGCATAACAAAGGGATTGCTTTTCCCACACAAATTCCAGGCACTTATTGGTTGAGCAAGAAAACTGATCTACATTTGGGATTTGATAAAGATGACTGGAAAAATATTTTATGGTGGACAGAGTGGGCTATAGGTTGATTGTAAGTAAATTTCTTTTTTTTCTAAGTTGTCATATAGTTTATAAAATAGTATTCATTCTTTTATATAATCTTAGTGCACGAAATCCTTTGATGCAACAAGACTGTCATGAGAGGGAATGGTTGGGAGGTTACTGGTTCCCATTTTCCAAGGTGCTTTGGCACTTGATGGTCATTTTCGAGTAGCATGGTTTGTTATCACTGTAATTTGTATTTATAATTGTTGTAAAGATAATAACTTTTTGATTACTTTGTTACTACAATAGGGGAGAAGTTACGGTGCAAGCTTCTTTGCAAAGATGTAATTCTGACAAGAGTAGTATTCCATGTCGCAACCCAGAAAAGGAAATCAAAGTGGTTGCAAAGGTGGTTGCAACCATCATCAAGAATTGCGACCAGCATCTATAGACAAGAGCATTTTAGAAGAAAGGGTAGATCATGGCCATTTGACAGATCTGAAATGTTATGTTTATTGGCCTGTGGTGGTCCACACAAAGTTGATCTCACCAAACTAGCTTTAGATAAATTCCAACTTCTGCATATGATGAAAGATTACTCTAGACTAGGGTTTGTATTCATGGTATCCATGAATACTGTTGAGGGGTTACACACCATTAAATCAGCAAAAAATCCCTGTGTGGCCTCCTTATGGTATCTGTGAATACAAAACCTACTCTAGACGATATGCAAGATAAGTATTATAATAATACTAAAAAAGATGATAAAACGTGTTTATATACAATAGGACTCCAAGTGAGTAAATTTAATACTCTGAATTATAAAGAATTTGGCAACAAAAAAATCATATTTAATAAATTTTTCTTTTAATAGCAATATAAGTCAGAAGTTCATGTTTATTTAATGGAAAGACATGATGTTTATCAACTTCATCTTAGATATTCCTTTACAACATTTCATATTTTGCATATCAGTCTGGGTTGGGCCTGGAATATTCGGGTACAGTGAACCCTCTATAAGTGCACCCCCCTTGGGAACATATTGCTATTTCTTGTGAGCATGCATTTATGGAGGGTATACATAGTGCATGCATTTAGGGAGAGTGCACTTAGGGAGGGTTCACTGTATGTGTAATAAATATCTATGATTTATGGCCTGGGAATATTTGGGTATGTGTAATAAATATTTATGATTTATGGTCTTTATTAGTTGCATAATAATAACAATCATGTTCAGTTTGCAGGGGCTGGTGAATAATTTATTGGAGAAACTGATTGATAATGTAGAAATTGGTTTAGTTACTCCTCAAATGATATGGCCACACAGAAAACTCCTGAAAAAACCCAAAAGAAAAAATCTGTAAAGCAAATGGTGACAGGGAAAAATACAAGTCTGGGTCATAAATAAAGATCATTCATAATTCTATTTGTATATAAAACTAATGATGCTGTCTGTAAATCAGATTTACAGAAGTTGTATCTAGCAACCAAGTTGTCATACTATTTGCAACCAGGTGCCAAAATTTGTAATTCTCTGTAATATGTAAATGTATCTGTAATTCTGCAATTCTGTAATATGTAAATGTATCTGTAATTCTGTAATTATGTAATACTGTAATTCTGTAATACTGCAAATCTTATATATATATATATAATAATAAATAAACTTTCATGTAACAAAATTTTTTATAATGAACAAGAGACCAAGAAAAGAACCAAGAAATTCTATTAATTGTGGCAGACAATTTACAGGTGTATGGAGGCAATTTATTCAAGGTCAAGAAAAAGGAAATGGTATATATGAAGGTGAATGTATAAGTTGTCATAAAAAATGGGCATTTGCAAAACCTGGAATC